AGATGACCCTTCTGGTCTCTTCCAACTCTATCATTCATGGCTGGCTGAGGAACTCTGGGAGTTGAAGTCCACAAGTCTTAAAGGGGCCAAGGTTGGAGACCCCTGCTCTAAATCTAGTCTACAGAAGAGAAGACCAGGGGAGACAGGAGAGCAGTCTTCCAATATTTGAAGGGCTGCCACAAAGAGGAGGTGGGTCAATCTATTTCCTAAACCAGGGGTCTCCAACCTTGGCCCCTTTAAGACTGGTGGACTTCAACTCCCAGAGTTCCCCAGCCAGCCAGCCGTTTCTGTTTCTTTTTGTCTTATCCTCTCCAAAGAGGAGAGAGTGCAGAGGAAGGGATTGCAAGAGAGTAAGCTTTGCTTGGCTGGGAATTGAAGCCCACAAGCCTTAAAAGTGGCCAAGGTTGGAGACCCCCTGTCCTAAAACACCCGAAGGCCAGACAAGGAACAATGGATGGAAACGGATCGAGGAGAGATTCAACCAGGAAATAAGGAGGCATTTCCTAGCAGTGAGATCAATCCACCATTAAAATATCGGAATTCACGAAGGCTCAATCAAACATGTTCATTTCCATTGGCAGGATTTTGCCAACACCATTCCCGGGCACGGGGGCATCATGGATCGATTTGACTGCCAGTACTTGATGGCCACTTTTGTCAACGTGTATATCGCCAGCTTTATCAGGTGATGGTTGTGTGTGTGTATGTGTGTGTGTGTGTGTGTTTCCCCCCTAACCCCCCCCCCCCCCCCCCCCCCTTTCTACCCTGCCTTTCCGTTGAAAGAAGAAGGCGCTGAGAGGGCACCAGCAAAAGGAGCCGTCATGAGCTCCCATTCCACAGAATCCGGACCGGATCCCAGTTGGTTGCAGCTCTGGGTCGTCGTAACCTCTGGGTCCCGAAAGTCGGGGAGTGGAACTGGGACCTCCAGGGAGCTGCACAAGGATTTGCTTGAAAGGGGACTTGAGCCCAGAGGTGCTTTTGATTCAAGAGGCAAGTGGCCTTTTCTTGTTTTTTCTTTGAAGATGTTTCGCTTCTCCTCCTAGAAGCTTCTTCAGTTCTGACAGGATGATGGGGGAGGGAAGGGTTGATACTCCTTTCAGACAGCTCTGGTCCTTTGCATCCTTTTGTCAAAATTGAACAGCCCTAAGGGGGAAGGATACATCATCATCATCTATCTCCAGTCTACCATACAGTCCTTTTCAGCCGTTCCAAGAAGGCTCCACACTCATTTGCACCACTCAGGTGAGCCTGAGGACGCAGGGAAACCTCCAAGCGGCCTCAACGACCCTCCAAAAGGATGCAAATGACCAGCTGCCTGCAAGGAGCATCAATCCTTCCCTTCCCCACCATCCAGTCAGAGCTGAAGAAAATTCTTAGAGGAGAAGCGAAATGTCTTCAAAGCAAAACCAGCACCTTTGGGATAACCAGGACCTGGAGGGCTGAGAATCTCCATAGATATTTCCCTTCCCTTCCCTTCTCTTCTCTGGACTTTCTTGTTTTTCTTTGAAGACGTTTCGCTTCTTGGATGAGGAATGGAAGGGGAATGGAAGCATTTATCCATCCAGTCAGAGCTGAAGAAGCTTCTTGGAGGAGAAGCAAAACATCTTCAAAGCAAAAAAAAAAAAAAAAGCCCCTTTGGGACAACCAGGACCCGGAGGACTGAGCACCTCCCTAGCCCAAGGGGAGGGAGCCCCCCGCCGTTCTCGTAGGGACCGTCTATCTGACCGCCTCCGTTCTTGTTTCCCTCTTTCCAGGGGCCCCAATCCGAGCAAGCTCATCCAGCAGCTCCTGACCCTGCGGCCCGATCAGCAGCTGAACATCTTCAACACGCTCAAGGCTCACCTAGCCGACAGGGGGGTGCTCCCCACTTCCGAGGACGCGTAGGCAGCTTGGCGATCGGACTGTGACTGAACAAGCCCCCCTCCTCCCCCCCCCACAGCCACCATAGGGCCCCTGCCCACCCATCCACCTTGCCTGGTCTAGCACGATAACCGAGCCTCTCTCACTTTCTCCTTCCTCCCAGATCAAAAGTGGGGTGTGTCGGGGGCTTTTGGCGGGGGGGGGGACAGTTTGTCTGCTTCCATGCAGACAGGAGGAGGGGCTTGCTGAGAAGAAATTTGGGCCGCAGGGGAACAGACGTGGCTGAGTGTGTTTCAGAACACAGAGCCTTTCCCCTGGGGGTTTTCTCCTCCTCCCGGGGCTGGGTAGGCTGGGGGCTCTTGTTTATTATCCCCCCCCCCCAAAGGATGAGGTGGACAGGGAGATAGGAGAAAGGAAGCAGCCGGCCTTTGGGAGGAAAGTCCTTCTTCGTAGCTCAGAAAACGAGAGGGGTCCCTCTGGTTGCGCACTGACCTTCCTGAATTGTGTTGGATAGCCAATAATGGTGGTTGGCAGTTGACCAAACGGTCCAGAGACCAAGAATAGCCCCAATGCCTCCCACGTTGGCCTCTCTCTGGGAGCTGCTCAGCTTTTTCCTTTGGCCAGGAGGCAATTTGCAGTCTTGATGGATGGGAAGTGTGTGTGTGTGTGTGTGTGTGTGT